TGATTCTGCCTTTTGTAAATACTAAATGCCAAGGTTATTGCTAGCAAAACCAGTTCATCGTTCAAGCCACAAGCTGGGATCCAGCTAACAATATATTACAAGTCATTGCAGGCATCCTGCTGCCAATCCACGTGTAATTAAAAAAGCTAAAAAGTACATTCAAGTTAGTTTTGGGAAAAACTGCACATAATTGTGTCTGTCTGTTCTGAGGTACCCTCGAGGACCAAGCTGTATACTGTTAAACATAAGCAGAGTAAATAAGGTATGTGTGCTATTTCCAGTTCGTGGAACTGGGTGGAGAAGTCCAGGCTGACTGAAGAGTTTCAATTATGCACGAGTCTGTGGGTGCTCACCATGGGTGCACTATCCAATTTCTGCTCCTTGTGGCCTTAGGGTGACCACTCTATGAACACTTCATTGCTGATTAGATATCCTTTGATTGTACCTGACATAACAATATCGTATGCAGTTCCGTAACAATTTGTTCCTCTCTCAAACTCTCCCACTCCTATTTCTTGTTTCTTGCAGCCACTGTCTTGCATCAGGTCATCTCTACCCATTCCCTTTTTCTGAACTACTTGTGAAATGCTGCGAGAGTCCTGGGTGTCTGTGTTTAGAGCAGCACAGGTGAATGTTGTGTCTCATAGCAAGGCCACGGCCTCTCAATTGCAGAAATTGTGTCATGCTTTTCTTCACTACTGTGCCATCTTTCAGCACTAACTTGTGCACTCATTCCTTCAGGCCTTTTCCTCCTGAGTTCCTTTTTAACTTGAATGATTCTGATTTCATGTGTGTGGGGGTTTTGTTTTGGTTTTTGTTTCTTTTTCAGCAAAAAAGAATTTTGTTTTGGCCAATCTATTTTATAATTCCCATGTGAAAGCTGGGACAGCGAACAGAGGTTTCCACTAAAAATAATGCATTAAGTTTCAAGAAATAGCTTCCATGATAAATAATTAAAACCCAGAAATTCTTTACCCTTTCCACTGTAAATTTTCCCAGTTACAATGATGATGATGGCTGTCTTTACCCAGATATAGCTCTAGTTTCTGTTGTGACACAACTTCTTTCTTAGGTCTTCCTGAGTAGATTCCTTGCATTCAATTTCTGGATGCCCAGTCACAAAGCAAAGAATTTTCAGGGAATTCTGTGTTTCGTGAGTAGCTGAGATATAGATTCAGGTTAATTTTATCCCTTCTGGTTCGCTCCCTTCAGTCACTCCAACAGAAAGTGCAGTTGCCAAAACATTATTTTGGACATTTCTAAATGTTGGGTATTTGATGCCCCTAACAATCACGATTGTTCTGAACCAAGCTGAACTTCAGCTGTTGCAGTATGATATATTCTGGGCAGAGGAAGATAGTATATTGGAATATCTGGGAGCTAGAAGCATTCAAAATGTTCATATTCAGAATACTGTTTGAAGGGAAGGAGCTGTGTCTTGGTTTTGTCATTGACAGTGTTTGTACATGTTGCTGTTTGGTTTGGGGGATTAGTGTTTGGAAACCTACTTAACTTTGGATTTCAAGCATTTTCTTAGTAAAGTTTTTAAGTGTATTTAATTGTTCTCTTCTAAATTCTTTCCCATATAAGTAGTTTTTGCATGAGGTAGAATTGAACGGATGGTTTCTGCTCATAGGTAGAATCCTATCAGAAATTGTTAAGCAGGTTTTGGTGTGAAAGTAGAGTTAGTCTCTACTGTATTAATTATACAGTTAACAATGAAGGGTCTTCTGTAGAATGACTACAAGTTTTAAAACAGGGAAGTATGGAGATACAGATTCAGCTGAAATTTAATTTTTGCGCTTTCTAGAAACAAAATACTCTGCATAGAGGATGAATCCATTATTGCTGTAAACATATCCTACTATTCAAATATTTCTTTTCCTGTAATTCTTGAGGTAACAATGAGTTTAAAAGTGGAATTCATCTCACCTAAGTCTAGGTCTGTAAAAATTAAGCTATAAATTGTCTCAGATCCTCTCTGATTACTGAAGAGAGACAGGTATGTCCATTGGTGACTCATCCCATCTTAAATGAGGTGTCTAACCCAGATGAGATGAATTGCTCTCCAATAGTGAGACACTTGACCTTTTAAATGGCAGCAGGTGAGATGAATCCTGTCCGCAATCAATAGGAAACAGAGGTTCTTTTCCAATGAATGTTGTGTTGTGCAAAAGGATGGTTGTCTTATGGGGATTCTCTTATCCCTATTATTGCTTCATTATGATTACCAGATCCCCCCCCTCTCCCCCCCTCTCCCCCCCGCACACGCACGCACGCGCGCACACTCCTCTGCTCTCCTCTCTCAGGTTCCTTGTCTGTCTCCAAGCAACTTCTATCCTGGCCTAAGGAAGGAGGAGGACAGGAAAATAATTGCTTTTATTGGCTCAAAAAGGAGCTTTCTAAATAAGACAAAGGACTTTGTATCCCCTGATTATTTGTTTTTAAGAGGAAAGAAAAGCAAAGATCAGTTCAGTAGGTTAGATTAGAAGTTGGTACCTCAGAGACTCACTGCACAATAGAAGTTGCTTGGCCAGTAGGTTTTACTTAGCAAGATGAAATTTCTCTTCAGAGCAGAGGTCAAATGTATCTCCCAGAATTGCGGAGGACGTGTTAGGAAGAGGGGCCTCAAAGCATTATTAGGAAGAAATGCCTTATTTCTCTAGAGTGTAGCAGTGATCCAGCCTTCCAGAGGCTATTTACTTTTATGGGTACTTTTATGCTCTGCGTGCTTCTGCTTTATTTATGTATATTTTTTGCACATATATTTTGGGGGGGGGGATCATGGATCTTCAGAATGTATTGATTTAGCCTGCTGCTAAATACACATACACACACACACACACAACTGAAAAAAATTAATTCATTGGATTGATCATAATGAAGTTAAGAGAATAGTTTGAAAGACTGAGAACTTTTGAGATATGTTGTTTGCCATCAGCCTTCATTATGGAATATGAAGGGGAAATCTTTTTCATTTTTAAAAAGTGAACTATCAGGAAAGATGACAGAATAAACTGAGGATTCATACTAATGAGAAGCAGGGTGGTAATCATTTTAAGTATACTGAAGGAGTCTGAAGATGCTAATGTATGAAAATACTCTGTCTAATTAAAACTGGTTATAAAATCTAGTTGCAGTAAATGTTATTTGTGTCTTCAAAAATTGTGGGGGATGATCTGAATGCCTTCTTACATAATATCTTGCTAACCTCTGGTGCTCAAAGCCATATGATATCTTATCTGAAGAGCTTAGTAGAATTCAAAGTAATTGGACTTTTGGATGGATAACATTCATTTATACAGGGAAAAGATACATAAACTTGGGTGCTAGACCCACAGCCTTGTTTTATAATTACCAAGTAAGTCAAATTAAGCATAATAGTTAGTGAACGTAATACAGTAGAGGCAAATCAGTACTGTTTCTTTGAAGGGAAACTAAGCTATGTGGATCTGTGCAGTTAAACATTAATGAATAAAGAAATGACTGTCTCATAGATTTCTTAAAATCTTTGAAAGGAAGGCTACTTAGTTTTCAACATTCCCAAACTAATTCTAGGTATATTTTAAGATTCCATCCTTGTACCGTTGTTAAATATACTTATTCATAAATCTGAATAATTTAGTAGTGGCTAAATGGTGTGAGTTGTGTAAAACTTGCTATTGGTTCAGAGTTATTTAAATTGCTGAATATAGAAGAAGACTTGTGGTGCTCCCTTGGAATCCCAAGAACGGGAGGCACCTGGCCGTCTGTGAAACGTAGCCCAAGCTGAAACCAGTGCAAGTGTGTGTATGTAACAGAAAGGTTTGTATTCCTTAGTGGCTTCTAATTTAGCTGCAGCTGTGTATTGAAAAAAGACCTCTGCCTGTTGCAGTGGGTAGTGTTTCAGTGTCACACTTAAAACATGCAGTCCGAGCCCAAGCAAACAAAAATAGCGTTGAATTGAAGCACGCTGTTAATTTCTGGTCATCCTTTTAAAAATAGAAGGAAAGGATTTCTGCTGAAATAGAAAAAATTAGACTCATATAGGAAGGAGTTATTGAGGTTACGTGTATTCAGTAGTGAATAATTTACAGGAGGCAAGGTGGGCAGTTGTTTGTCTTGTCCACAGCACAAGAACGGAGGTACCTTCAGTATTCTGAAAATTAATTAAAAACCATGCGATAGCTAATCTGAAGAGCTTAATAGCATTCAAGAATAATTTGATTTTTGACTGGATACCATACCCTGTTATCATATACAGGAAAAAAAGATAACTCTCCAGCTTCAAAGACATAAATTAGTAGTGACCAACACTCAGAAAGCTTGAATGTCAGTTGTTGCTCGTTTAAGAACTTTGAATATCAGTTGTTGCTGCTGTTCAATTAGGAAAGAAAACAAAGGCAGACAGTCTGCTGCTAGATGCTGCTTGCTGAAAACAAACTTTACGACAGTCTGTTTTATGGATCTTTTTGGTTTTGTTTTGTAAGTGCAAAACCTCCAGCATGAAATGACATGTCTTATGTACTCCTTGTCTCAGGTTGTTTGTACATGAAGCCAAATATCACAACGGGGCTGTCATCAGGAAAGCAACTACAATTAGTACTATTGTTATTAGTTGATTGCTATCATGATGATATTTATTTGGATTTTTCTTTTTTTATTGGAGATGCATGTTTACTATAGATTACTTGCACTGGCATCTCATGACTTCCACAGCAAGGAGAGCCAGTTAAGATTGTTTTCTTGATGTGTATCAACACCAAGGTGTCAGGTGTGGAAACACTATCGCCCTTGAGCCAGGAAGAATACTATGCAACTGTAGAATTACCGGTTGATATGGAAATATCTTCTGCTACTCTCGGTGTAGAACAGATTTTTTTACCTTGCTTTGAAACAACAACTTACGTGACCAGATTTATTGTACAGTACCTTTTTGATAGGAAGAAAATGCTAAATTTCTTCTGAATCTTCTGAGAGTTAATTAGCAAGCATCTTAAAGTTATCTGCGTTTCTTGCAGGGTATTATAGAAAAATCAAAGATCAAAGGAATTCCAATCATTGTTGATGCTGTAAGTACTTTTTTGATTCATTCAGTGGTTTGACATTTAAGAATTTATTTAGTAAATGTTCTTCTTACGGGTTTTTGCAGGATGGACTGTGGCTGATTTCCCAGCAGCCTTCTCTTATTCAAGGCTACCAGAGAGCTATTCTTACTCCAAACTATATGGAGTTTAGTAGACTATATGAAGCCATGGTGAGCTATTTTCCTTTTTGATATTTAGGTACCTGCAAGCTTAGTCTTTGTTGTATTGCCTTATAACACCTCATTAGCAGGTTAAACATTATGTACTGTTTCTTATATCTGAGAGAAGCACTGTATGGGTTTTCATTCCATGAGATAATTGCTACACAAAGTACATTCTTAAGTTGAACTCTTTTATAAAGAAGGTGCTTTCTTAAGCATTTTTGGCACTTCAGAATGGGTATAAAATAAAAATTCCAGGACAAACTGATGGAAATGGTTTTTTTTTGTTTGTTTTTCTCACACACTGAAGTAGCATGTGTTGGATTATTTTGTTCTAGTAGTAAAATATGTACCGTGTGTGGAATTCTTGTGTTGTAGCTTAGAGACCCCGTAGACAGTAGTGACCATCATGGATGTGTGTTAAGACTCAGCCAAGCCATGGGGAATTTGACAATTGTTCAAAAGGGAGAACGAGATCTTATTTCAGATGGAGAGAAAGGTAAGTGAAGCCTTCACTTTCAGCAATGTGATTTTTGTTTGTTTGTCGGTTTGTCTGCAGTTATTGTTCAATGGCTGGACTATAACTGTACTGCATAGCAATTGGTTGACTGTATTCTCCTGAAGATTGAAGGGAAGGGAAGGCTATCTTGGCAGATCACCTTTAGATGTTTTGTTTAAGGTGACATTTTAAAAGCCTATGAAGCGTAACTTAATAATTTATTTGATGAAAATTTCTGCTTATTTTATTTCTCATTTAAATGGCTGTAACATATTTTTACATTATGCAGGTACTGAGGGCTTTTTTTTTTTTGTGAACTGTTTTAAATACTTAGCTGAGATGGTCTGTGTAAGTGTAGACGTTATCGCTAAATTTATGCATTGTTGTTTCACCATATATTGGTGCGTCTGAAAAATGAAGATGTCTTCAGGTTCGTGGACTGCTCAGTTCCTTGATATTGTCCGTCACTGTTGGGTTGTAGATTAGCACGTATGTTTACGTCTTTGTACATTAGCCCTGGTAATTTTTTTTTTTAATTTAACTATAGATTACCATTAAAACTTAAAACAGTTCCTTATAAATATGGTTAAAGTGTACTTAATAAAACTAGCCATCTGTCCGATGCCAAGATCACTTACTCTGATCAGTATAATATTAATTCATGAGTGCCCTCATCCCATTTTGACTATGTGGTCTTGTTTCAAAGCAGCGGCTCTGCCTTTAATTACTTGAAACACTAATATCTGACAAACGTTAATGCCACTTCAAAATTGTTTTGTATATACAGTCAATTTTTCATTATTTGGAGCCACGGGAGACTTCTATATAAAAGAGAAAAATACATGTAATGTGATGACTGGAGAGCCAGAGTGTGCAGAGTGTGACTGGTGTGCAGAGCCACCTTCCACGTGCCCCCTCAGTAGTACAGATACTATAGGAGACACTGAAGCCAGCTGAGGTCGGTCAGTCATATAGTGTACCTAAGCTGTCTTGCATAGTTTGCTGTCATATCTGCACCCAGAGCAGACTTGATTTGTACCCTTGGACAATCAGTCCATGCTTAAGGGAGAATACACTTTGTCAGAGGCTAAAACATCCTGGCTCCAGTTTATGCCATCTAAAGAGCTTTAGAACACTGTAGCATGTCTGGTGTTTGTATTTTTATGTTCCCTGTGTTCTCTATATACCGGATTGTTGCTTTTTTAATGAAAGTCAGGAAAACTGAGGGAGCGCTTTAGACCGGGCACCTAATTTAGCATATCTCTGCTCTCCTTTTCAGAGTTGTTGTTCTTGAGATAAACGTACCTCCAGCACTTGCTGGAGAGAGTAGACCCTCTTCTTCATTGTCTCTTCTCGTGCAGGACTCGAAAAACAGGGAGTAAACCCAACTCTTTCAGTTTCAATATTGAAACTGAAAGCTCAGGTGTGGCACAAGTTTGGCACAATGTTTTATGTGTGCTTTTTGGGCTTTTCATTTTTTTTTCTTCCAACTTTTTCTCTGCCTCTGTTGCATTCTGATTTTGTCCTCACTTAGTTAAGTAGCTATTTGATTTGAAATATAAACAATTTTGTACCTTTAGGCAGTTGCGTGATGTCCAGCTCTTGGTTGCTTTCTTGTCTCTTATGTTGGTCCTGTCATTGGTATTTTTCCTGCCCTGGATTACAGATATTACAGGCAGCATTCCTGAGCCATAAGAAGGCAGCTGTCAGGCTTAATACAAGTTATAATGTCTGTTACAAATAATGTTTTTAGGCTTTGTGGTGCTTATAAGAAAGTTCCTAACAAATTTGTAGAGATTAAAGACTTCAGCCTCCTTTTGAAAAGGCTGTTCTTTGGGTCCCATCAGCAGAGTCTGAGAGTTACTATTGGTCAATTTTTGGCATGCTCCTCAAATGCAAAATTATGTCGAGAAAGGAGATTCTGCTGTCTGCTTTGTGCTGCAACATAGAGCGTGTTTTCATGTCACTGACCTTGAATTCTCTCCCAGGTTTTTCACTCTTAACTTCTGCTTCTTTTCATCTGTCTGTTCTTTTGATCTGATGTCATTTTTTTTTTTTCAGCTGAGACAACATACATGATGATTCCAGTATGAGGGAAACCCAGATCATTGGATCAGGCCAATGTCCTCTGAGCACAATCACATAATTATGAAATGATCTGTGTACTCCTGTTGCCTTTTATTTTTCATGTCATCATCCGTCTGTAGTGCTTAAGCCTTACCTTCTTTCAGACATTTCCTGCTTGAGCTCATGTGCTTATCACACTAATACTGCAGTTTCTAGATATCACTTTTACACTTTCTCCTTGAGGAATATAATTTGTGCATAATTTCTGAAAAATTAAGTCTGAATGCGCGACAGAAAAAGCAGAAATTGCAAGTTTGACTATGTAGCTTTAGTGTTGTGTGTTTGGCTGTTGTGGAAGGGAGGCTTTCTGAGGATGCAGAATTTTGCAGCATGAAAAGCTGTGACTTGGTTCGTTTTTAGTTTATAATGATTGTAGTGGTGATTTTCAGAATACGAATATTCACATGACTGTAGGGAATTCAGTAGAATTAGTTTAAGACCAAGAAGGTTATAAAGTGATTTGATAGTGGGCTAAAAGTGCAGGTTTTGGTGGAGGATTCCTGTCAGTAGGTAGCTCTGTAATCTAAGCAAACTGGCACAACGAATTCTGATTGCATACGAAAGCTTCAAAAATTCAGATTAAAAGTAAGGCAGATCCTGTTAACGGTCAAAGAAGTTAGCTATGAGAATAACATACCTAGAACTTCAATAGATTCTTAAACCGTAAACTCTGCAGATGCTTGTGAGGTTTGTTTTTATAGAAGATCAGATTAGATGATCAAAATCATTCCTTATGGCTCTAAAGTCAGTATATAATCACCTATGTGGCCTTTGTGAAATCAGTAACAATCCTCTACTACAAAGGAGGCCTTTCTAAAATTTGTCTCAGTTTCAGATATGACCTGCCAACTGCCCTGTAATCAGCAAGATTTAAAATTTTTATATACCGTTTTTCTCTTTCCTTTTGCAATTTCACATTATAGCTTGGTCTACAGTTGTTGATTCCCTGCTCTACAAAGATGAGCTTCACCGTGTTCTTGGTAGGTGATATCAGTGCCATCACTGACCAGGGTAGAAATGAGTACTCAACCTGTAGGTAAAAGGTAAGTCAGCTTTTATTCACTATGGCACAGCTCTCCAAGGTTTTCTTTTTATTGTTCTTTGGAGAACTGGTCAATAATAAAGTGTGGTTATACCAATCTTAGTGCCTAACATGTTTAAAACTTGGTTAGGTCCTTGAAGTAGGATGTTTTGGTGTGTCTTTAGTTTATTTTTTATTATTTTAAAATGAATTTTTCTATATTTTCACTGGCACCTGTGTTTGTCCTCTCCTCTCCCCTCCAAAAGGCAGTCTTTATGAGTAACCAGCCAGCAGCTGCCTGTAACTACTTTTACCTGGAGCCAGTAGCCAAACATAGTTTCTCTTCTGTTGCCCAGCTGCAGCTATGGTCAAGAGAAGCAAAGAAGCGTGTGAGAGGGAGTGTCTGCTACTGAATATGGGGTAAAAAGCTAGCCATTTCCATAAATCCCCAAGCAGTGCTTATAATTTCAGCCTTTCATTCCCTATACAAGTGGAGAGGAAGCTATTCAGTGCTTGCCAGTCCCACTCTCACTTAGATAAAAGCTGTTATGGTGTCCAGCTGCCCAGCAGATTCTGCCTTTGTTTTAACTTGGAGGCAGTACCTTCGGCTGCGCTTCTACTGCAGACTGAGCAAAACAGGGAGGCTGCGCTTCCCGTCCACAGTGCTATCTATGTTCTCCGTTGCATGCACAGCCCAGCCTTTTGTCTCCCTGACGTTATTCTGCCCCACTTGTCATCTGCTGGCTCTTGCACGTATCCAAGAAAAGTAAAATAAGACTTGAATTTTTTTTTTTTCCTTTCGTTTAAGTTGCCTAGTGTCTCACACTCAAGGACCTATCTAAGTTTTAAAAGTGTGATTAGGGAGTACAAGAGTATAAACACCCTTTATATGAAAGCCAGCTTACGTTTTCCACGTGAGTTGAGTGATTTCTCCAGCCCTTATCGTTAATATTGGCTTTGTTGTCCTTTTTCACTCAGGTTCATGTTTCTGGGAGTCCGCAGTCTCCAGCTATGTACTTTTGTGAACTAACTTGCAAAAGGAAAAAGATAAATTTCTACTAGTATGAGTAGCTGCCAGGTCAGAGATGGTTTATCAGTAAAAGATTTTAGTTAAGCTCTGGTAATGGTCTAAACCTGAATCTGGCATTTGATGAAGCAAAATGGTACTTGATAGCTATGTTGTTTTGCATAAAAGTGGTAACCTTAAGCCTTTTAATTAAAATGGGATTATTTGTTGTGCTGAGGGATAGCCGATGTTAGCTAACTAATCTAGTTGGATCATAGCAGAAGTCAGAATGTTGTACCTTTCGTGCGTGGATCCTTGAGCACTTTAAGAGATGGATAAATGTAATTACTCCCGCTTTGGATGGAGGGAAACAAGTACAGAGAGCCTGTTTAGGACATCCAGGATTTCGGTATAAAACCATAATCTGCGGGCTGTCTTTTGGTCTGCAGCCTCAATAAATGTGGTATTTCACTTAGGATTGTCAGCCTTCTTTATTGTCAGCAGTATTAAGTGTTTAGTCTTACCTAGCTTTCCCGTATTTCACATTTTATGATCTAAATAAAAACATCAAAATTAATCTCTGTTTTGTTCACTATTATGAACGTTGTAAATCAAGAACATGGGGACATATGTTACTTTTTGCGGTAAAAGGGCATTTGGTTTTCTGGCAGTAATATGTGTTTAGAAGCTCGCTTTGTAAGTAAGACTGCCTTGCGTATAGCCTTATCTGAATTAACGTTTCCTTGTTAACTCACAGTACTTGATCTCAGCAAGACTACTAAATTATTATTTTTTTTAATTTAAGGAGAGACCAGCTATTTTCAGTTACATAAAAGGCTTTTTTTTTTTTTTAATTAAATGCACAATAGCCATGTGTCATTCTTTTGGGTTTTGATCTGCCAGCACAGTTTGGATTGAGAGCTCCTTTATTTTAAAACTTGTTGGCAGTGGTAGCTAAGCATGATGTCACAGTTTGAATGCTTCCCCAAATGCGAATGTTTATCTTATCTCCAAGGCATGCTGAAAAAGGAGTGATGATATCATATTTTATGGCCTGAAATATATTAGGCTTAGAGCTACTAAATGACTTGTCCATAATTCCCCAAGAAGTCTGGGGCAGAGTTTGGAATTGTTTAGTATATTATAACCTAAAACTCTTTTGAGTTTTTGCTTTCCAGGATTCTGTCACTATGATAACCTTCATTTTTTTGTTTCTGTTTCACTCGTATTTAAGTGCAAATTGTTTTAATGGACTTAGGTAAGCAAGAAGCGCGGGTGACTCTATATGGCTGGGATGTATTTGTTGCATACAGCTCTGGCAGCATTTGTGTGCGTCTGCAAAACCCATGCAGTTTAATGATTAAGCTTACATTGGAAACGATTGCACAGGGCTGTGGTTGTTCTGACTGTAGCAGATCTCCCTTGCTGTATTTAATTAGTCATTTCGTGAGTGATAACGTTTTTATTTGAGCTAGCCGTTTCTTGTTGTGGTTCATATGTGCTTCGTGCTTGACTGCTAGGGATTTGTTTTTGTTTGTTTGTTTTCAGAAAGTTGTATGGCATTTTAAAAGTCTAACTAATAAATGTACTTAGCTATTTTTTCCAACTCATCACCTTGTGAAATAATGACGCCGGATTTGGTTGCCAAGACGTATAAAAACAAAAAACAAAACAGCCCCCTCCCCTGCTCAACCAATTTGACTGGCATTGGTTGTGTTTCTGGCCAGTTGAACTATAGATGAACTTCTCCTTTTTTTTGGCTGGGATTGATGTCAGACTAATTGACCTAAAGTGGCCCCAATTGCTCTCTTTCAATTTGGACACATCATGGCCATCTCAGTCTGGGCAGTTTCCTTGTTGTTCAAGATTCAGTCCCCTGGATCTCCTCAGCTCTTCTAGAATTTGAAGAGTCAAGTTTTCTAGGCCTTTTGATTCAAGGGTTCGTCATTAGTTTAATGTGGTGTTACCTCACTGAGCAATGGACTGAGAAATACTTAATCCTCGTGTAAATATGTCATTCTCCTTCCCAGGAAAACGAAATGTCTGTCTTTTCTGCATCATCATCAACTATTCAGTCATGCCCATCTAATAACAGTCTTGAAAAGTTGCCATGGGTTGTCGCTGCTCAGTGCAGCATAGGAGGAGGTCAGTCCCATGGTCTCTGAAGACCTGCTTGATCCAGCCAGTGGGTCGCAGACATCTAGTAGGGGATGCTGGGTTGGTGTGTGGGGGGAAGACAGCAGTTTCGTTTTATTGTTCTGGGAAAACGTTGGGAAAAGCATCATGAAGTCTTTGTCCTCTGCGAATTTGGCAGCGTGCCGGATTGCCTTGGGGGGTTGTATGCAGTTCCTCCTTTTATTTTAAAAGCTCTTAACAGTGGCTATTGTTCACAAAAGTTTTTCCGCTGCTTTTCACACTGCCTGTTGTAATGTTCATCATCCTTTTTATTTTGAGATGTTCTTTGAGGAACTGAGCCTCTGTGCAGAATTCTCCAAGCGTTATACCTCTCGCCTTCATTCAAGTGAATTTCCTGTAATTCTGCTTCTTTGAAGCTATTGCGTGGATTTGTTTTCCAGCATCTCTGTGCACAGTAAAAGGGTCTGCTTTTGTTGCTGCCTGTGAGTTAGTCTGCACATATTTGAGACTTTTTAAAAACAAAAAAAACCCACACAGACACACATACACAAACAAAAGGCCACTTTTTTGTAGCAGGGTTTTATAATTGGCCTAGTTTGAGGAGCTCTTGCTTTCCTATACAGTTCAAAACTGACTGGAAGGTTGTGGGGCTACAGAATAGTGGCAGATGGTGACATACAGCTAATAAGCAGGGGCTTGTGCTCAGCTGTCAATCAGAAGGCCCCAAAGCTTTTGAACAGAGGATTTCCATCCTGCCTCCTGCCAGGAGTTCAAGACCTCAAAGTGAAAATCCTGAGAGATACCATCTTCAAAGTAGCAGAATTAGAGGTGATTTCTCCAATGCACTGTATTTAAAAAAGAAAAAAAAAAAGAGAAAAAAAAAAGAAAAGAAAAAAGACGTACCTTTTTCAAATAGCTAACTCGGAAAAGCATTGCACTTGTGAAGTTTGACATTAACTACTATTCACTGAGAAACGCATCCAGAATCTTAATTCGGGGTTGGGGGTGGGGAGCGGAGAAGACTGATTGGGAAAATTAACTGCTGGGAACACTGCAGTGGTATCTGCTGTGTTCATAGTGACTAATGAATCTTTGCCCTCTCAGTGGCAGCAAAAACGCACAACTGCCTGGCCTGATGAGCCCAGCAATTACTGCTGGAAGAACTGGTAGGAGACAGAAATGAAGTACAATTCTTTGCTGCACTCAGTAACAAAAAGCAGAAATGAACTATGCAAATCAGCTGGAAAAGGTTTGATTGTGATAAGTAGTATTTTACATCTTGCTTTTTAAGCAGGTTTACCTGCATGTCCTTCATTTTTCTTGCATATTTTTCCATTATCTGAAAGTCATGGTTCCTTTTGAATAAAAAAATAAGACTAATATTCCCTCTGTGCCACCTGGGCTGCACTAGTCATACATCTTGGAGAAACCCCACCTAAGGAACTTCAAAAAACTGAAGTAGGAGCTGTTGTCCCAAGGCACTGCTCTCCTATTTGAAAGGATTGTTTGTGTACTCCTGGACCTGAGACCCTAGCAGCTGAGATGCTAAGGATCACGACTTGGCCGCCATTTACACTACCAGATCTTCCTTTTTGCTAGGAGAGGAAAGTTAAGTTCCTCAAGCTTTTCTTCAAAGTCAGTAAGAAGGAAAGCTAAGGATAGATTCATACTCACAAGACAGTTTGGAGAAGGGTAATAGAATTGATGCTATTTTCTTTTTGTGTGCTTTAGGTATCCTTATGACTTCCTCCTTGGGCTTGTTGCTAGTGGAGGACGAGGGAATTAAATTTAGTGAAACCGTTTCCATGTCCTTCATAGTTTAGGCTCCACAAAGAGGTCAGTTTCACCAAGAACCTTTGGATATTCAAAGTAGAAATGCAGCATCTGATATTCTGGTCTAGCCTATCCACAGTGATACTGCTGACAGAAACATACATGCAAACTCACGACATTGTTGATATGCAAAAAAAAAAAAAAAAAAAAAAAAGACGTCTAATTTTACATATTGCTTTTACAAAGCCTAAGGAAAGGCTACTTTCAGGGAACTTTTTCTGATGCGCGTGGCAGGTTTGGGGTTTTTTAGTTGTATTTTTCTGCATTTGCTCTTTGTAAAACACCTGTCTTATGTTTGTAAACTCTGAAGGTCAGAGACTCCGGAGAGCTGTATTTGTACAATGGCTTAGTAGAGGTATCTGGTCTAGTTTGAGGCTGATGCTTACTCTATGGCAGTATCAATAGTTTACGTAAACATGACTCACTAAATTGATTAGTGACTGAGTCTTCTGTGCAGACAGAGTAAAGTGGAAAAAATAAGGTATATACATTGTGAGAAGTTATTCATAAAGGATTGAAAAGTGATTGGAAAAGCATTTTTTAAATGCTAATGTATTTTTGTTTTTTAAGGACAGTATGTTTCAGCCCATGCTGCTTTCTATGGGTTTCTTCAGACATCAGCCCTTGCAGCTGTGGTGGTGTCATTGTAAACAAAGGAAAAATGAACATGACTGGTTTTGGTTTGTTTGTTCGTAGTGCTTGTATGCAGTCACGAAGGAAGCAGCCGGAGATGTGGTGGACAGGGGGACCTCCTTTCTGGTTCTCTTGGAGTCTTAGCACACTGGGCGTTTCTTGCTGGAGCAGAAAAAACAAATGGGTATGAATATTAATTAATACCTTCTTAATTTTTGTCAATCTGTGTTTCCCTATGTCAACTGTTGTAGATCTGTATAGAAATTTCCAAATGAAATGGGAGTAATTAGAACTAAGGTAAACATGTACTACTTAAAGTGTATGTTCTGGAGCACTCATTATAATAGTTCCAGTTTTAATAAGACAAATTTTTCAGTAATCTAACATCTTCCAAGTTTGAGACAGAAGACGAATATGAATGTGGCTCAGTTCCAAGGACACTTTTGTATGGGATCTATATTTTCAAAATAATTGAATCTAGGCACAAAGTATGAGAACTAAGTGAGTGGCAGTCACTGGTAGTAATATATCTGTATTACAAAAATGTGTCACTTAGTTTTGTTTCTGTAATTTGGTGAATTATCTTGCATTATAGCTAAGGAGTCCAGTAAGTCATATAAGCTGAGACTTGCAAATAAAATATCATTTCAAAGAGGGCGACTACTTAAAGGGACAAGCAGCGTTCCAGTTTGCTCATATGTAAAGCAGACTTGCACTGTTGGCTCTCTTGTTAAATTATGTCAATCCCTATCAGACTAGTTGGTCCGTATAGTCCTGTAACTTTTCTGTGAAAGTAGCTGCTTTAAAGAAAATCAGAAAAGAACCCTGGCACGAGCAGTCAGGGAGTAACAACAGTCTCTGTTCCCAGTAAGTAATGAGCTGTAGATGTTCTCCTTACTCTAAATACTCCTGTTTAAAAAAAGAACAACTCTTGCTTCACTCTTGCTGTCAATAATTTATTATGTCTGTCAATCCAGAAGTAGTTCACCAAGTAAAAAGATGTTTCCGTATAACTTTTAAATATGTTAGCTCTTAGTTTGATTGTACGTTCCTCTAGTTTTTTAGTATATGATATCACAGATTATGTGAGAAGTCAATCTGGAGTGTTTTGTTTCTTGGCTGAAAACATTTGTTTTGATATTACCATTTTATTATTTGTTTCTTCCCAAGGCTTTCTTTTCGTTATTTGCTCATATGGCAGTGTCTCTCTTTTTCTAGGTATCTTTTCGTTTCTTTGTGAATCCTTTCAATCTCAGGCATATTTGTTTTGAAAGAAGATATCCAGGGCTGAACCCAGTATTCAAGCTAAGGCATATGGCTGACTTACTGTTTTTGTTGCGGCTCTTGTTTTTAGAGCTTCTATCCAATTCTTTGTGCGTCTGAGTTTTGTCTTGTTGGTTTGCCACTGAGTGTGGCTGTCTGCAGCAATCATCAGATCCTTGCTCCCATTTTCATCTTTCTCTAGTTAGTTTGTTAAATTCCGAATGTAATGATCATCTCCTTGTTCTCAGAATATAAACTAAGAATTATGTAATGTTTTATATTAATTTATATTCTATATTTGTTCCCTTTCTCCTTTTAATTCAGTTCTGTCGTAGGCTTTCCAATTAATTTTTTCTATATTCCTGAACATTTGACACTTTCTTCCAGATTTTCTTTCTTTTCTGTTCTAAGTTTGCATTTTGCTCACCATAATTTGTCTGCTTTTTCTGGTGGTGGTTCTTTTCGTTTAACGGTATGATTTATTGCTGCCATTACAGGAATGAAGAGGTGTGTTGTAATCTTTCAGATGCCAAATGCAGATGCATGCATGCATCCATGGGAGTTACCTGATCTGTGCTTGTGTTACTGTTAAGAGCACAGTATTGCGTCCCCCAGTAGGAATGAGGGACCATTTGAACCAGACTTAAATATGCTCAGAAGTTTGACGTACCCAGAACGAAAAATGAAACCAGGCTTGTTTGCGTGTCTGAAGTTGCAGCTGCTGCTAAAGGAGTAACTGTGACTTCATTTTTGCTTGTAGTACAACAGACTGGATCTTTGGAGAGTGAAACGTAGCTCGTGTTTTCCAAGATGTCTTGGTGCTGCTCTCCTGGTTTGGGCTCCTGTAGCTTTTTCAGACAGTCCCCTCAGAACTCCTTTACTTTGTAGGTAAAGTGGGAGAATCTAATTGGCATCAGCACTACGTTGTGCCTACTGTGGTGGTGTTGTGGTGACCCTTCTCAAAAACCTGTGATGCTTTTCTTATCTTGCGCGCTCCAGGAAAGGAGGAGCTCTTTGACTTGGGTGACTCAGGGCCTCAGCTGCTAGATTGCACTATAGGCAGTCCGGCTAGTCCTCCCACGCTTGTGACTGGCTGGGTTGTTTCAAAATGGATTTGTATGGAGGAAGATCTTTAAATAGGTTTAAGATTGCTTTGGCCTTCAAGGGTCCTAATGGTATAGGATATAGGATTCACTTTAGTAAATAGGCAGAATGCTAAGTGATGGAACATGGTATGTAATCAACTGGTTACGTGGTAGCCTCAGAAATAGGTGCCAAACCTTAAGCTGTCTTTAGCCCAAAAATCTATGCACAGTTCTTGTTTCAGAGCAGTATTTGGGCATGCAGGATTGTGAGATGGCTTAAATGTTCATTCCTGCACCTTGATGAGTGTATGAAGTTGATGTTTTCGGGGAAAAGAAGCTGCCGTAGTAACACCTAAGCTTAAACCCACATTTTGTTTTGCCTATGCTTTAGTGATCTTTCACAAAACTGTTACTTTGCATAGAGATCAGTAGATCTTCGGTGACTTGTGGCTAGCTGTAACCCAGCCTGGACTGAGCTCTGTGCAGTTTGTCAGCAGCGAAAACCCAGGGCTAAACGCTTAATTATTCTGCAGTTGTTTGACTCTGCTCTGGTGTCATAAGGGCAGCAGAAACGGCTTCCCCCAGCCTGGGCTGTGAGAAGGTGCCTCAGGGGAGGCAGCTCAGCACCACCGTCACTGGTAGCGCTTAAATATGTTGTAGTGGGGCATCAGGAGAATGTGCCTTAATTTCTGCTGTCGTCTGCACCCCTTTGAAGATGATCTCACAAAATACAACGACCCTCAAAGGCAGTCACTGGGGTATTTATGCATCATCTTGTTGACTGTGTAAGGGACCAACTTTGTGGTCCCTGAGCCCACCGCTGTCTGAGACCAGGCCCCCTCCGTTGCCTGTGCTGACAGGAAATTAAGAAGTTAAAGCAGAAGGCAACAGAGAAAGAAAAGTATATTTCTTGTAGGCCACCTGAAATGGGGGGGACAGAGTTGCCTGAGCCACCCCATTTTTAAGCACTCTTACACCAGTGCAGCTGCCTAAGGGATTCAGGCCCATCCCAAAGAAGCGCCTAGGCTCTTCTTGGGGAAGAAGGATGTGTGCCGGACCTCAGAGCACCATGGAAGAGACTCATTTTTGTGGGAGGCAAAAGAGGGCTTGAAGCTACATGTTGGCCATGCTCTCCTGCCCCAGAGCAGTGACTATTGCACTGCCTGTTGAGCAGCAACTGCCGGTTGTCCCCGTTCTCCCCCGGCCGTATAAAACTAAACCAAGTTACTCAACGAGAGGGAAGGAAAGGGAGTTAAAAGATTGCTAGGTGAGACTTTAGTATCCCTCTGACAGAAAGGAGGAGGTTTTATATAGGTAAAACTGGACGTGGAACACCTGTTTAACCTGTTTATCCATTTTTAACAAGTGTATTTTTCTTTTGCATCCTTCAGCCGTGGTATTGTTTCTCATCCAGTCATGTGCTGTGCCGTGGGAAGGGAAATATTTGTTAGAAAAATTCAGCCAAAGATGCTTTGCAATACAAGAATCTTACTTAAAAGATCTTCCATAAAATGCTGACAAACACTTATGGGTCCACAGGTTATGTCCACTATGGCAGCAAAAGTAGAGGGACTGGAGAATCCCAGAAGTGTAGTAGCCAACTTTGTGCATGCAAGTGAAGTCAGTGCTGAATTATAGGCCACCATACCGTGTATTTCAGTTGACCTGAGGTCACCTGCAGCTCTCCTATTACTATTGTATTTCTAGCCTTAGGAATTGCACAAGACTGCTTTAGAAAAAAAAAAGTTCAGATTTTGTTTATAATTATTTTTTTTTCCTTTTAGTCAAAATCCGTTTCTAGTGGCTGCATTTGGAGCTTGCTCTCTTACAAGGCAATGTAACAACCAAGCCTTTCAAAAATTCGGACGTTCAATGACTGCCTCTGATATGGTTTCAGAAGTTGGAACAGCTTTTAACAAACTTTTTGAAACCTGAAGCCAAAGCAGCAGACAGGAAGAAAAGGAAGAACAATGACTGCAAGAATAATTACATTTACAGTAGAATTTACATAAGTAATGCACCCTTTTCAAGTGCTGTAGCAGCATTGGTATGCTAGGTAGATTTTTTTTTTTTTTAAGAATAGAAAAATATGATTAATGTAGATATTTTTTAAGAGTTTGGAATACAAAAATGTTTTGGCTGAAATAAGCTGTAGTTGCAGATCTGTTATAATATAATAAAACTAAACTGAAAGTATTCCTCTGTTCTTTTTCATAGTAATTGAGCAATAACTGAAGTGTGAACTGCAAAAAAAAATGCACTTGATATTTAGATGAAAGTAAAACTTCCACCAGCTCAATTGAATTTCTTGGCTCGCACCAAGGTTGTCATGATTTCATTTATACTGTACATCTAGAATTAGCTATTGCACTTAATTTTTTGCCATGCTAATAGATTCACTTACAAACAAAGAAACAAAAAAAACCAAGCCTCTTCAGAAAGGGAATGCATGAGAGTCGCTTTAGATTTTGAATGTAATTAGCTGCTTTTGTCCAGTCCCACAGGCAGCATTCATGTGGACAATACGCCCCTCCTGCAATATGGCTTGTTTTTTTGAAAAAAAAATTCTCCCACTGCAGAATAAGGGCATACTATAGGTACATTAGCATTAAACAATTATTGCTCTTAACTTTATATTTCTTCAGCTGCTCTCAACTCACTATAACTGAATATGATAAAATTCGTGAAATTATCATTTAGAGATGTTGGTACTAGGTGTGGTGAGAAACTTAGTGATACCTAACGGAACTGGTCAACTTCTCAGTGATAATGGAAGAGTGAAGTGCTGTTATAATGCATATTACCTGCTGAACTAGAGCTCTGAGAACATCGGTGTACATGTGCATATGTGGCTATTTGTCAACCAGCAGCACATTAACTGAACAAATAAAAAGCAGACAGCTGCACATATTTGCACAATCTTAAGTGTACGTAGTCAGTCATTTACTGCAAGTTGAAGGTAGGAATACGAAAACAGTGGTAGGGGCTTGAGCTCTGAGTTGCAGCAACTGGGTTTAGAGGCTTTTTGCTCTTACCGTTATCAACACCAAGACAGCACTTTTAGTGTCATGGCTGTGTCTGGCTGGTTGGCAGAGCTGATGACTGTTGGATACAAAAAGGAAGTTGGGTGGGGTTTTGCACAATATTATTTCTTAAATTTTTGGAAATTCAGTCTAGGGTTATAGGGCTTGAACCAGTATTGAGTGAGAGGCACATTCATTCAAAGTACATTTACAGAAATTTCTGTAAAAGTCTGGAAGTGGGTAGTACAACCACTTAAACCTACAGTCTAGCTCTGAGTGTACGTCCTCTAAACTGGAGTACAGGAACAAGCATATGAAGTGTCTAGTTATTACAGCAGATATTAGATAGTCATTTCAACCATTGTTCCAGTGATCTAATTCCACATTAGACGCTAGTGTCATGCATACTAGTCAGATTGCATTTTCCCACTGTGCAATAGCTTCCCACAAAAAAAAAAATCTGAAATCAGAAAGGCTGCTCTGACTATTTCCCTCCTGCCCTTATAATTAATACTTCTGGATGCACTGTGACTACTACCTCACCCCAATGCATTTTTGTTTTTCTTTTTAAACTAGTTGCCTATTTTTAAAATAGGTTTTTAAATATTTGCTCATTTTGATCTATGAGGGTTCACCGACTTTTTAGATTAGAGCAACTGTCTACTTATAAGAGCTGGATTTTTCAGTGTTTAATTTAAGCAGTTTTGTAAACTGTCTACATCCTTGGGGAAAATACGCTACTATTGTTTCTCCCATTTAAACTATTTGAGAAGCCTGAGTCCTTCTAAATAAAATCATAAAGTTAAAACAGCTACTGACTTTCCTTAAAAAAAAAAAATTAGCATTTTTGTATTTGGAACATTAATGATATTGTTTCAAAACTGCATTTGTAGGCAAAGCTAAATCAAGTCACTGAGATCAGTACAGATTTCAATCATCTACCATGTTGGTTTTAAAGCTACACAAAAGTTGTAACTTTGTTTATTCGCCAATGTATACAAATTGTTACAATTTCATTTTAAAATATTCTGGAAATGTAGCAGTTTCTTTCCATAGGAAATAAAAAAATATAGCAAATAAACAAACTGTGGTGTATACTTTGTTTGGTGTGTTCCAATTATCTTTATTTCCCACAGAAACTGACCCAACTTCTGGAAAGAAAATGTTTGCCATTCATTCTAGTTTACTACTGGTGTAAGCAATACAGCCAGTAACAAATTTAAAATAGGAACAGTATCAAATAAGCATCGACCTAGGTGGTCATAATGAATGAAGAGTTCCCCTGCCTTCTTTTGGAGTAGTGGTAACCACAAAGGTACCAAAAACACAACTACAGATTTTATTCTCTACTTAGTAGTATAAAACTTTTGTCCTTCTGAACTGATTACTTGTGGCAACTCTATTTTCACCGCCTCTGTTCTTATTTTCCCCATTGTTTCGCAAATTGATTTGAGCATTAAAGTATTTGCAGCAGTAGACAGATAGAGTATATAGCACACACAAACTCAGGCAATAGCATATAGCTCTTCTAACATAGAAGGCAGGATTCTCGGCATCTCCCTGCACCCACCCCATCTTTTAAAGGAAACAGAACAAAAAAGTCTTCTGTGGTGTTCTTTGGTGTGACTTACTTAAGGCATGCTTTTGCCTGTATGGATTTTAACATTCAATGTAAAACAGCCATTTTATTTTCAATACTGAGGCTTAACACTCATCCAAACTGGTGACCTTCCCTTGTCTTTGATCCTTTGTGTAGTCTTGGACGCTTCTGCTACAGTTGATTTCATTCACCTCTATGAAATACATGCACGTTACTTACCTGAGAGAGGAATTAATTAATAACCAAACAGGTAATATACTAAACATACTAATTACTACTGTCCGATTCTGATGGATAGATCCTGAGCCTGCTGTGCTTGTAGCATTAGCGAAATCTCACTGTATTTTGTGCAAAAGCAAACTGAAAATATTGTAAACTAAATATGTACATTAGCTAAAATGTACATTAAGTCTTACAGGTAAGCGGTTAGCATCTTAATATCATTAAAGATTTCACAGAGGCAAACCAGCAACACTGCACTGTGGAAATACTTCAAGGCTAGAAGTGTCACCTCCTTCTATGCCTGAGAAAATGTAATTGTTTAAATTAGTGAGCCTCAAAATAAGCGTTCGCACCTGCAGAGACAGGTATAAAGTTTCCGCCTCTGTTTTTTAGGTCTGTTTTGCTGAGCTGGCACTGAATGTGCAAATACGGACCATGTAGCAATCAGGGTTGAGGCATTTCCTGCACTGGAATATACTGAGGCATGTTTTAGACAACACTGCTGCTGCTGAGCTGCGGCGTATTTTGGATGCTTGCGGAGCCTCCACCTCATACAGACCAATTGAGAGTCAAAATAACAGCTAAGTTCCTACATTTACTGAGTAGTAGCATGGGCATTTTCGTTCAGATTATGTTACATCTTTGTTAGCCATTCTGTCCTGAAGATTTTATTTGGAAATTCTTAACATTTACAACTGTTCCAAAAGCAATTGCAATTAAAAAAAAATGTCCAGTGGTGAAGGATCAGCTTTTTTTCTGATTCTTCTGCTCTACTTGTCCTCCTTCCACAATTTCCCAGGTTGAAACAGCAGTTCTGTCCTGTAAGAATAAGTAAGTGAGTGAGTGAGTCAATCCTAGCAGTTAAGATTATGCAGGTACTTGTATCTGGCTAAATCCTGTTCAGTATACCCTGCAACATACTAGATAGATCTAAATGTGTCTGGATCATTTTTGTCTTTAAATATATTTTGTCTTTAAAACAAATGTTTAACATGCTAAAATTTTAAATGAGCTCTGACTTATGAAAGTGACTGGAAGAGAATGCAGGATTGTATTTATATTAAAGTGAAAACTTTTGATACATAAATTTAATTACTCCATTTCTCTTAACAGTACAGATTATCTTACATAAACTTGCATTTAATGCACAGTTATAACCTGAAGGAGATGGTGTCCTCTCTTTGAAGCTCATTTTTAACTGAATTAATTTAGAAGCATTCTCTAGGTTGCCACTCACCTTGGAGTAGCCAACCCTTTCCCACCAGCCCAAATCCATCAGGCTTTCTATGGAAACGAGGCTCATTTGAGCTCTGCTCATTTGCTCTTCTGTTGGTCTTCCTCCTGTCCATTAACTGTGGAACGTGCTGCTGGCTGACTTCAGCCACATTCGATAGAGGGATATCAAGTTAACAGATGCCTTAGAGCATGCATATCATGGCGTACATAGAAGTTTCATGAAAATCAGTGGCTGGGTAGAAAAAGAGCAATTCAAATTACTTCCTCAACTGCTTACTAGGCAAATAGGACCCAGCTGTTAGCCACTGTGCTGCCATCACATTTTTGGCAGTAGCCAACCCAGACCAGTCACCCAGCCTAGACAAACAGGTGGAGGACACAGGAGGCCAGAGGAAGGTTGGGAAGCTTTAGGACAGAGCAAGGAATTGAAGTACTGTCAGGAGAGGAGGCAGAGGATGAGATGCAAAGGAGCAGCACCTTAGGAAACTTGACTTCGCTCTAGCGTTCTTAATTTTGAGAGCGTGGCAAAAAGAGGAACTTCACGTGCTGTGCCTGTCAGGCCTTTTTCTCCAACAATGTCTTTCCAAAAGTGCTGCATCTTTTCAACAGAGTTGTTGGCCCTTGCTTCAGAAATAGGACATAAACATAGCAGAACCAAGGCCGTACAATGAAAGGACAGGGTTAAGGCTGTCAGTATTAATTGCTGCAGTGATAACAAACAGAAATCCTGTAAAATATTTTACTGATTTTACTTTACGAAGAACGCATGCTGCCACATCTTGTATGACCACACTACAGCAATGCAACACCAGCCTTCTGCTTGAATCCAAGAGTGAGATACAGGATTTAAATGCCCACAAGTTAGGTGCTGCCACATTGAGCCTCCAGATGGGAGCTCCAAGTACTGAAATAGAGGGTGTTGGATCCCTGCTACAGCACACAGGAAAAATTAGGGAAGGTCAAAAATCCCTCTGTGCACTTAGCGGGGAGCTTCCTACAGCCAGCCAAAGGATGGAGTCAAACCCTAGTCCCTTATTAGGAACCTCGGCTTCTACATCTGCTCCTACACCGAGCTGTTTTTCACCCTTTCTCCAAGAGCAGTGCTGATAATACTACCCCTTGCTTCTCACATGTGGTAGCATCATTAGCGATAAACTACCGCAGCACGTGCCAGCTACGTGACCAGAGGCACTACTTCTGGGACTGCTTAAGAGAAACTGTAGAAACAATCACAGCAGATAATAAAGTGATTAGTCCTGACAGCAGGGACCAGAACCTGAGTTTCCTGCTCCCTGCATGCCTTAACTGCAGAGCAAGGGCACAGTGAGAGTGACCGCTCCGCAGGCTCTGCTTTCTGTGGGGCCGCGTTTCTTCAAGCGTGTGCTCTGGGAACACGTGCAAGGACATTCAGAGCTGCATCACTCATTCTCCAGAACTCTTCCAGGATCTGTAAAAATCAAGATCTGGGCAACCTTCACAGCAGATCTTTAGATACTTTCACTTGTTAGGTGGCAGCAGCAAAGAAAGCAGTTCAGCTTTGGACCTACACTGTGCATGTGTGTGCATGCATCCATGATGTCTGGTCTTCAGGCACAAACTATCTTGGGACAAGCAGGAGACAGATTATGTTGAGCTCCAGGCTATTAAATCAAAACCGAAATAAACTGAAGGGGCTGAATCCTGGCTAAGGCCAATTTCTAGTAGGTTATTAAATGGCTGTAAATCCTTTCAAAAACAAAACGAAGCAAAGAAATTCTCAGGAGAGCAGGGGACTGCAGCTGTTTTGCCAAATACATCAAAAGGGATATTCTTTTTCTCCGAGACTTTGTTTCAGTGCAGTTCTGTTTGGATTTGGAAACTTTCTTGACAGATAAGCAGAGCTGAGGATTTAGCTATGTACAAACATGTTAAGGAAGCAGATGTTCCAATTTCCCAGTCTTTCTTTGCTTTCACAGCTGTAGCTCACCACCAGCATGCTTTGGTCCTTAACCCATTTTGTATCAGCACACTCACCTTTATGTGAAATCATGAGACAGCTGACCACATTTCATGCTTGCTTTTAATAGGTGTGTTAAGAAACGACAGCTCTCACATTCAGCAATTAAAGGAGATGTATGCTGTCATGCCTTGGTATAACTGTACTTTTTATAATCCCATTGGTAAAATGATGCAAGGCAACTATGCACAGCTCAAGTCAAGAGCAAGGGAAAAATGAACAGCGTGAACTGGAGAGAGGGATAAGGATGCTTGGCAGAACGCAGAGGATTATTCTGAGCATAAGGAGCAACACTGAATCAACAAAAACTGAGGTGAGAAGGGCAGTGAAGCAAGAGGAATTGGAAGAAGCAGTACCCATTAAAGAAGGTAACATAGCATCTTGAAACCAGGAGGAGACAGTAAACCAATGAAGGGATTTCTCTCGAGTGGGAGACATGGTTGGGGCAATGAAAGAGGAAAACAACAGTGGCATTAGTAAGAGACTAAAAGTAGAAAGCAGAGTAGGACTCATACAGGAATCAAGCAAAGTAATTATGGATTAGAAGCAGTTAGGAATGAATTTGTCAAAGAAAGGAGAGGCTTTCTTGTGAGAACACTGCTTTCTGGAGGGGGAACATGGGGAAGAGGTGACGTTTTCATAACACATCTCAGTTTACTTTTCAGTTCCACTGCAATCTTTTTAAAACTGCATACATTACTCCTGGCCTTTCTTCTGGATTAAACCCAGGCTACTTAAGGATTTCTGAACATGATGGGATTTTCAGTGGCTACATAATAGTCCCTTCGTAATTGGAAAAGTAGGTATAGCTTTGCACAGAGACATGTAGTTGAGGGGTAACAGAAGAGAGGGCTAGCAGTACGATCAGGCAAGAGCTTAATTACTGCCTCCTGTTATTGCAGTCATACAGGGAGCAGGACATAATACTGAAAGCTGCTGACAAAGAGCATGAAGGGCAAAATTAAATCCTGTCTTAACAAGAAAAAAATTACTAACAGTCACACAAAGACAGTAACTGTCTTGTACCTTTATATGGATTCCAAAGGCAGCAAGGTCTCGACGTAGATTGTCACAAGCCTCCAGGAGGGGTTTTCTCTCCTGCATTAATTGCTGTCTCTTTTCCTTCTGTTCTTGTTCTGGTCCTTTTGATCCCATGGCACCTTCCATTTGTGTAGTTTCTGTTGCTTCAGGCAGAGCAAGAGCGTAATTACGCACCTTCATACGGAAGTTTACAAGCTCATCAATCACATTAGAGAGCATAGCTGAATTTCTTCCTTCCAGAGTAACCTATAAATCAAACACATTGTTTTAAAACCATTTGAAAATGATTTAAAAATCAATCACAACTCAGTAGTGCATACTAAGAATCAATCACAACTCAGTAGTGCATACTGAAGAAGTGCCTTCTCACTTCTCTTGGTTGTGCATCTTTGACTATACTGATATAATTAAAACATCCACAATCCCTACTAATGCTGGACAAAAGTTACAGTACAGTGTGATTGTATGCACATTCGAAGCAGTTCAGGATACTCTTATAGTAAAGGGTACTCATACCAATACAAAATGCTGCATAATTCAACTGTGGAACTCATTGCCACAGGAAACCTCCTGGATGCCAGAAGCATGTATAAATTTAAAAAGGGATTAGACAAATTAATGGAAGAAAGGCCTGGCAACAGCTGTCAGACAAGAATGAAAATGCAGGCTCCAGCTCAGACAGCCCCTGGGCTGTACATTTCTCAAGAGCTAGAGAGCACACCAGCCTCTTAATTCTGTTTTTGAACTCCAGTTCCTCCTCAAGAAATGCAAAGAAGGAAAACTATTAAGTACTTTCACTTTAAATCCCTAGGCTAATCTTTCTCCTTGCACCTTGAAGCCCTGTGGAAAACCACCCCAATTTATAGAACTTTATCTGACTCTCCTGAAGCTTCAGCCATCCAGCAAAACTGGACCAACTAAGAAACAGTCACTGTGCAAAATGCTTATCTGTCAGTTGGCCGTCTCCTCTTTTGAGCAGCCTCAGAGTTCTCTACGCTATCGCGTCTTGACAGAGTCTAGACTGTAAACACTGTGGGAAGCAAATTGCCTCTCTATTCTTAAGCTCCCATGCTGATGGCTGTTAGGATGAGAAGCTCAGGTGCTACCAGAGGAGAAACACTTGTCATTGGCTCTGAAACAGGGAGGTTCACAGGCTCGCTCTCAATAGGAAAAAAATTCCTGCTTCTCGTTAGAGGCAAAAACCTAAACACGGAGGAAAAGGACAAACTTACAACAATCAAGAAAACGCGGTCACAGCATTTTATCACTAAAACACAAGAGAGGGAGCAGACAATGCAGGAGTGCAACGTAAAGCACACCAGTGCCACAGGGTGAAGTAGCTGACAGTGACACTTGACCGGGGGCAGAAGAGCAGCTGAGTAATCACAGCCAGGGGGGACTGGGTTGAGTCACAGAGCAGCAGGATGGAATTGAAAGGGAGTAGTTTCAGAGGTCACTGACTGAAGCAAACAAATAAAAAGAGGAGGTGGCGAGGGGGACTATGTAAGGGCTAGAGTTTGGGATGCTCAATGGTCTGAACAATCATAAAAGGCTGCAAACATACTAAAGTAGTTTATGAGACTGAGGAAGGTAATGAATGCAAATGCCTGAAACGTTCCACTGTAACCTGGGACAGGGGGAAAGAGCATGCTAAATTCTTCGATGCAGAAGGTAGACCAAAGACGCATGGCGAGAGGGAATAAGCAGCACGCCTCTACAGACACCACAGCCACAGTTCAAACCAGGCACCTCCTCATGACACAAGGGCAAGAAGCTCCAAAAGGAAGGACAGTGTTAGAACATGAACCGATCTGATTTCTGTGTAAAACATCTTATCGACTCTCAGGCCCAATCAGTAATTTCTTCTTCTGTAGTACCAACCAATCCAGAGGGCTCATAACATGTTTGATATGGAAATTTGGTCCTTGCCTATCCCAAAGAGAATCAGTTGTTTGCTCTCTATTGCACCTGGAATACCTGCCTTTTCAGCAGAGCTAAAATCCTTACTTTCGCTCACCAGCTCTGAACAGGCATGATGGTTTTCGCTCATCAGCTAGACTCCCCAGTAACTAGCAAGACTGCTTAAGAGATAGCTATTCATCCAGCCCTATGTCCCGTTAGTGATGTCTTTTAGAAATTTACGATGGATTCGTCTTACCTACCTGTGGTTGTCTAGGCTTCCTCTCTAGCCAATGGAGAAAGACAGAAGGCTAATCTTACTTTATGCAATCATCAGACTGAGATGAACTGTCCTTTGGAGGTACCCGTCTCTCTCCACTGACTACTGCAGAAGCACAGAAAGCTACATTAGACTATAAGGCTAATTAGCTGAGATGACGCCCATCCTAAAAGCAGGCTAGATCACAGGCTATATCCACATACCCAACTAGAGAGGGCCCAAATACTGTGTCCCAGTAGCCCTATGTTAAATCATTAGCGTAGCAGTGGCCAGGTGAGCTAGCACTCTTCCAGACAACCTGTGTGCCTGGCAGTTCATGGATCCGGACAGTTCAGGAATCACCCATGATAAGCTGCATGCAAGTGGCCACCTTGTTTTGGTGGTAGCAAAGGTGTTAGCTGCCAGGCTCTGAGCTGAGCTGTTCTACCTGGTATAAAGGTCAGAGAACAGCCCTTATTTGCTGGTCTGTGGTAGCCCACAGACCTTCTAAACTTTTCTGCTGTCTCAAGTAGGAAATTAACTTTTTTTTTCTTTTTTTAAATGAGTGGAAAAAAAGCAGAGCGACAGAAGAATCTGACACATTCTTCCTCCTTTCCTAAGTCTGCCTCACACCTGCGTTTTCTGCTGACCCTGATGCCCTGGAAAAAACTAGCACAGCACATAAAAAAGAAAAAAGCATTACGGCACTTACTTCAGTAATGTACAGACAGCACAGAACTCGGAGGAATGACTTCTACATCCAATTTATGCACAAATAGAAGTGTTTAGTATATCACAGAAAACTGAACAGGACAAATGCATGGGTTGTGAGGAGTAACAAACAGCCAAATCACATGCAATGGATGTTTTGAAAGAAATCTTTTAAAAATCCACAAACAGAGGCAAATACATGCATTTATTACTATACAGTGCCTGATTCTCAAAGGATGAATAAATTGTTATTTATATTTTCTTATTCTCTTCCCCCTCCCCATCCCCCCAAGAAATTCTAGTGGAACAGTTTTTTCTAAAGTAAGTTTTCAACCTCCATTCAATTCCAGAGTCATGAACCTACAGGAGACAAGCACAGAACAGCTCGCTAGTCTTCAACACCTTTCATCACTTAAACTGCTTCTCTTCCATATATTGTTAGGACATTGCCTTTGTCTTTATCGTTCAGTCCATACAGTACTTTGCTGTAGACATCTCTCTCATTTTGTCCTACCTTTTCAAGGACTAAAGAATATGGTATGTTTTTCCAGCGGGGGCAACGCTGGAAACAAAAGCCCAGCCTCTTCCCCGCAGCCTGGCCCCCTGTGACCCTCCTCTCCCACAGCCCAGGCCACGTGCCTTCAGGTCTCATCTCCCCTCCCCTTTTGGAGGCTCTCAGCCACCACCATCCCTTCAACCGTTGCCACGTCTTCAACTGCCTGCCCAGCACCATGCTTTAATTCCCTCCCACAACGCCTACGACCCTCCACAGCCCTTCCCACTACCTTCACGCTCCAAGTCGCGCCAAGACTTTTTGCCCCAGGCCCATGGCGCCAAAGCCCAGAACAGCATGCAGCACTCCCTGTGCTACCCTTTGCTCCCCTCACCCTGCGTTGGCTCAAAAGAGAGCAGCCCCTTTCCTGGCACCCTGCCTTTCTGCAGAGGAGCCGAACCCTAGCTCTGGCTGTGCAGCTCACGACTGCAAATATTAATGTGCTTATCAAAGTCAGCCTGGAACAACCATGTGAAAAAGAGGAGGAACGAGGGGGAAAAAAAAAAACCAACAGATATATAGTAGTATCAACGTAAAAGGCCTCCACCACTAACTTTTTTTTTGCTTCATTCCTCAAACTTTCATTTCCACAACGTGATTGCTGCAGCAAGTCGCAGAGGACTATCTAAACTAAATGGGCCCACGTTTTGCTTCGTCCTGTTCTACCTGCTCAAATGCTCTCCTAAGACACCACAGCAGAAACTGCAGGTGATGCAGAAAGATTTACTAAAATCATAAATAACTCTCTTATATCTAACACTTTCAGAAAGTGTTCTATAAAACATAATGCTGGTGCTGTGACTACACCATAGCATACATAGAAGAGATGTTTCGTACCTGTTTTTCTCCAAGGGACATTCCAAGGGCATTAAAAAAGCCCTCTACGTACGAAATCATGCTTCCATACACAACAGAGCTTCTAGGAGATCCAGCTTCCTGTTTAAAAAACATTCAAAAAGAGATTGTCCAGTTAAAACATACTGCAGAACTCAGCAGCTATCTACAGGCTAGTCCACAAGTGAAAACTACTACCAATTACACAGATCTCCTTCTACCAGTAAAACCTGCCCAGGTGGGAATTTTTACACAGACATAAAAGCACCTTTCAGTGATTCCCCTCACAACACTCGGCAAAAAGACTGAAGCAAAAGGGGGAGAGGAAGAGCTTATTACCAGCATGCACAGCGAGGAGAAGAGATGCGTGAAACTACAATGCATTACATGTCCACAGTAAATTAGACCTAAAAATAGCACTCCTGTGTATGAAAGGGCTGTGTGTATAGAAACAAAATAAAGGAACAAAATCACAGCTTTAAGGACATCTGTATAATAAATGATAAAACAAACAAACAAATAAAAAAAACCAATCAACCAAAAAAAAAAACTTTTCAGTGTCTTATTTATTTAAACAATGCAAGGATTGCATTGATATAGCTTATGCTGTTTGGCCATGTCCTGGCAGCACCAGCCATCACCAGCAGCAGATGAACAGCATTTTTATAGACCACACATGCTTATTTCTTTCCTCCATATTTACTCCCCCAAAAAAGAAGAATCAAGATCAAATAACAGACTCTGGGAAGAGATTTAAGGGACCAATGCCAGGGTGGGGGCGGAGGGAAATAATGACACACAACCAAACTAGGAGCCGGTACTCGATTTTATCTTATATCTCCATTAGGGCCTGGGATGAGCCACAGACACTAACATTTGCAAAGGACCTGAACTGCAAGTAACTGAAGTGAACTATTGAGGAAAAGAAACAGGAACGTACAAATTAAGAAAAGAATTATGGGAAGATTAAAGAGAGGAATGTGTTGTGTTTACATGAATTTACTCAAACAGTTCTTAAACAGAAAAAGTACAAGTACATTCAGTAAGAAGTAAAACTCAGAAAGCTGGACCGCGCACAAAAAAGCTCCATCACAGCCAGGAGAGATCCAACTCTGAGTCAACTGCTCTTCAAATACTACATCCAAATCTAAATCGAAAGACTGACCGAGTGAATTCAAAGAAAATAAGTAAAAACAATTACCAAAATGAGGATATGTTTATTTAAGTGGTGATGCTATTACAGTTCCCTACTGCAAACTGGTCAGAGAATCATTTTTTAGAGAAAAGGGAAAGTTGCTCGTTAGGCTTCAGATAGAATTTAAAACTAGTGCCAAAACGTGGCCAGTAGGAGGCAGGATTTTTAAGCCAATGGGCAAATACTATCTTAAAATCAGTTATTACTATATACTCAGTTTCTTTCTTTTGACACAGAAGTGGTAGACATCCTAAAACCAGCAATTAAGGAGCACAGCAACAAGGCTATTACCCTGAGCTCAAAAAGGCTCAATTTTGGCTCAATTTACCCTGAACCAAAAAGGCAAAAGCAGAATTAGAAGTTCTTTAAACTGTGTTCATTGCTCAGATCGTGTCCTGACCAGGTGATTCTTTTGTGTCAGCATCAAGGGATCTTAACAGAGCCTCAATTTACCAAAAGTTATCTGAAGATGGGGACTCATTCAGGCATGCTGAGGCCACAGTTATAATCTGCCAATAGCAGAAGTCACTCACTCCTCAAAGCTGAATTCATCACCATGACTATTCCACACACCTGCAACTGCCATCAACTACCAACCCCCTTCCCCCTCCCCAAACAGCCATCCATTTCCCTAATTAAGTTGATTTCTATACATGAATATTAAGCATGGAAGTGCAGTAAGAACATAAAATCAGCATTAAAATTAGCAGCATGTTGCAATGGCTTCAGGCCTTTCAAAAACCTTAAGTATGAATAATATACGGCAGCAGGAAAGAAACATACTTTGAACACCACGAAGCATAAGACAATAGTAGTATACTATTCCTGTGACACAGTCAGGACAAATGGGTACCATTAAGGTCAACAATTTATGGAGCTTTGTTTCTGCCAGTTTCCTATGTGAACAGTAAACTAATCTGTCTGCATTTAACAGTAGGACAGTGGACAGCTGTCATTTTCTGATCTCTGTATCCTAATGGGTTACCTTAGTAACAGCCTTAAGCTGTCTGTTGCCATGGTGAATGAGGTCCATAATTGCCGCAACAGCCCTGGAGGTGTCAAAGTCATCTGCAAATGCAGCCTTCACATTTACTTTTGTGCTGGCTAGCCTTCAAGAAGAAAAGGTAACGTTTAAGACAAGACAAACAAGATGCCAGCAGTATGCTGAATTCATCAACTATTCAGCCAGAGGGAGTCATCTAAAGGACACTGTCATTTCATTCTTAGCTGTTCCATGATGAGAGATGCTACACTGATCAGAAGAGAATACATTTTTCAGTTGCAAGGAGAGAAACTCAGGCCTGTCAAAATCTGCAGTGGCACATCCGTTCAATAAATACATCATTAATCACAGAAACCAACAATGGGAGAGTAATGTTTGCCTTAATCGTTTTAACTAAGCACGTTAACAATTTTACTAAGTTCTTTTTTCCAGCAGCCCATTTTCACACTAACGGTGTGTTTGTCTTCCAAAGCTGCCTTACACAGGCTGCTTTAATGCTTGCTAGGAGAGCTGAATCGGGGTCAGCTAGAAGTCTCGCTGCAGCACTGCATGACCTATTGGAAGAATCCAGCTCAGAAGTATGCCCTGCTTTCTCATTTCCTAGCCTAGCCGAATTCCAGCATTGTGACTTCACCCTGCTTGGCTGAGATAGAAAGCTCTGGTGGAAACATTTGTGTAAGACAGCCAAAAGCCAGTGGCAACTTGGATTCGTTGTCACGGAACGAATATTACCACTGCAGTTGCTTTGAAAAGTGGAAAGTGGAAGGGAAAGTGGAAGGAATAAATGGCAAACTGCAAACAATTGCTGGCGGCTAGATGAACTGAGTGTTTATAGCCACTGACTCGAGGATGCTGCTTCACAATAAAGCCCACAGAGCACAGTTAGCTGGGGAACCTCAAACTATCCTAGGACCTCTGGGGCTCTCCTTAACCCTGTTTTGCCTCTTTTCTTGTTTTTGCCCCGAATGACAGCGTCATCTCAGATACAGATGGCTGCTATCCTAATCCTTCCCAACCCAAGCTCTCCTCTGTGAGTTTCCCCTTCTATCTTGAATATCTATCACTTTCCAAATTAAGAGATCTGTTTCACCTTAGCTGTTTTTACATTTAGTAATACAAAAGCTTTGCTCTCCCATAAGTCCTCCGCTGACAATCTGTTTCAGCCTCCTCATCTACCCTATATCCTGTAACATTT